GGAGAATGTCATTCTAAGTGAAGTAAGCCAGAAAGAGAAAGAAAAATACCATATGAGATTGCTCATATGTGGAATCTTAAAAAAAAAACACATAAATACAAAACAGAAACAGACTCATAGACATAGAATACAAACTTGTGGTTGCCAAGGGGGCGGAGGGTGGGAAGGGATAGACAGGATTTCAAAATTGTAGAATAGATAAGCAAGATTATATATATATATGTGTGTATAGCACAGGGAAATATACACAAGGTCTTATGGTAGCTCACAGAGAAAAAAATGTGACAATGAATATATATATGTTCATGTATAACTGAAAAATTGTGCTCTATACTGGAATTTGACACAACATTGTAAAATGATTATAAATCAATAAAAAATGTTTAAAAATAATAATTTAATGTGTGATTGCCCGTTATCAAATACTGGTTTTTTTTAAAATATATTCTTACTGAAGTATAGTCAATTTACAATGATGTGTCAATTTCTGGTGAACAGCACAATATTTAAGTCATACCAAATACAGTTGATTAATTTGGATTTACAGGTTCCATCTAGCTGGTTTGACACTGGCAGCACAGCCTGTATTGATGGTAGTCAGATCATGGTGTCTGGTGTCCACTGCTGTGCCGAAAAATCACCGGCACACCCACTCGGTAGAAAGTGTGCTAAAAACAGAACTCTGGATTGGAACAAACCCCCTGAATTCAGACTAACTGCTTGTGCAAAAGGGTAAATTCTCAACTGACTGGACCTTGCCCTGTAGCAGAGGGGAAAGTCGATGAGACTGTTGGAACTTGCTTTACCCTTACAGGTGCCCCTGAGTTCAGAGCACACCGTTCCACAGTTCACTTGGGTCTGATGACTCAGCGGAAGCGCTTAGAGTCCTCCCCCAGGATCAACAGGCACTTGGAGCAACAATTCCTTTCAATCCAATGGCAATGACTGGATTCCAGGATTCTTTTGTAGCTTACCTGAGGCCCTTTGTGCAGACATTGTAAGCATTAATCACGTTCTTTATTACTTTCATTGATGGTAAGCATGGAATTTTATTTGTCTGGCTTTGTTTGTGTGTTTATTGGTGGAAGGAAGTCAGAAGAGGATTAAGTCTAGATTTTCTTAAAGAAAAGGATAAAGTAATGATAACAGCTTTCCAAAGAGCAGAGCCAGTCACCAAAGAATGTTCATACCGATTTCTCTATTTGTGGGCTCCAGACCTGAGGGTATAAGGGACGTATTTGGCAGCTTTCTTAAATCCAGCTGTAGAGAATATCCAGGCAACCAGATAATTTCGTATGAGTTGCAAAATGATACCGGGAGAAAATATACCCATGAAAGATTTAAAACAGGCAGCTTCTATAGGTAGTAACTCCTTAGGCCTCCAAATTATGACAATATGTTTTAATTTCAGTCAACTAATAAGGACACTGTATATCCTTTTGATTACTTCAAAGCAAAGCACTAACTGAACCTGTGAGGAATGTTCCCATAGGCCTATTTTATCAAAATGTGAAGTGTTTGATTAGCAAATAAAGAAATGATTTAGGGTAATTTGTGATGCATTATAGAATAGCTGAAAATAAAATAAAATTGGCTGAAATAGGAAACCGAAGCTAAATATCTTAAATACAAACTAAAGCAAGCCACAGCAACCCAAAAGCAAATCTATGTAGAGTACTGTTTTTAAAACCAACATTGAAAATTGAACAGCAAGACATGTGCTGTTGGCAGTTGGTCAATATGGAGTAATATGGCTCTTTGAATTCAACGGGGTAGACTGATTTTGTTTGCTTCCCATTACGTTTATGAACTGCAGAGTACCGAAGCTCAGAGAGAGGCTTGAAGCAAAACTAGTGCCATAACCAGGGGACAGGCACTGGGAGTTTTTCCCAGTTACCCTCTGACCTAGAAAATGCTTGGATTCCTGCCCTTGTCCTGCGCCTGCAAGCCCTTTGCCTTTGCTCTGCATTTTAATGCCAGGGACACCCAGACCTGGAGTGGGAGCACTGTGGGCCAGAAACAAAAGGAGCGTTGTTTCCATGTGTTTTTTTGTTTTTGTTTTTGTTTTGGTTTTTCAAAGCAAACCCGGGATAGTTTGACATCAGCAATCATTAGATCTCTGATAAGGATGTTTACTTTGTGTGAAATGCACCAGGATATGGTGACAAATATAGCTCCTGCTATGAGAACTTAAAGTGATTTATTTCAAATGGCTTGGAAATTGTGATACCGTATTTCTCCATATGCTGAGACTCCACGCTTGAGGGTGGCCCCAGGGGGTAGCACTGGGGCCGCCATCACCTGTGAAACATGGGATTAGTCAATGTTTAAATGCTTTCTGTTCTCATTTGTTTCTTCTATTTGGCCATCAGCCTTCATTACAGCCGCTTCCTTTAGCTTTTTATATCTTACTGTTTTGTTTTGCTTCTAATTGATTCTCTGTGTCAGGGAAACAAAGAGTCAGCTCCAGGGCAGAATCCAAATGATTCCTGGGGTTTGGAGTTAAACTGCGGTGTAACCCCAAGTGAGGGCCATCTTCATGATGAAGAAACCAAGCCCTTCCTTAAACTTTTTTCTGCATTATAACCTCTAAGTTCCTCTTTGGAGCTTAGCTGTGATGCCTTGTTTTATTCACTTTCTTTTTTTATATATGTAATATTTATGACACCTTTCAGACTCATGAACAAGGAAAGAGATTAACAGACACCCACATATCCAGCCCTAGCTTAAGAAATGCATTACACATACAGCAGAGCCCCCTGTGTGTCCCCACCATCACCTCTCCTCCCCTGTGCCATAGAGGTAATCCCTGTCTTGAATTTGGTGTTTATAATTCCTACCCATCCATTCTTTTTTTTTCAATTGAAGTATAGTCAGTTTTTGTCAATTTTGGTATACAGCATGTTTCGGTCATACCTATACATACATATATTCCTTTTCAGGTTCTTTTTCATTATAGGTTACTACAAGATACTGAATAGAGTTCCCTGTGCTGTACAGAATGAACTTGTTGATTACCTGTTTTATATATAGTAGTCAGTATCTGCAAATCTCGAACTCCCAATTTATCCCTTCGCACCCCTCCCCCCGGTAACCATGAGTTTGTTTTCTATGTCTGTGAGTCTGTTTCAGTTTTGTAAATAAGTTAATTTATGTCTTTTTTTTTAAGTTTCTACATATGAGTACTATTGTGCAATATTTTTCTTTCTCTTTCTGGCTTAGTTCACTTAGAATGATGATTTCCAGGTCCATCCGTGTTGCTGCAAATGACATTATTTTATTCTTTTTTAAGGCTAAGTAGTTTTCCATCATATAAATATCCCACAACTTCTTTATCCAGTCATCTGTTGATGGACACTTAGGTTGCTTCCATGTCTTGGCTATTGTAAATAGTGCTGCTGTGAACACTGGGGTGCATGTATCTTTTTGAATTAAGGTTTCCTCTGGATATATGCTCAGGAGTGGGATTGCTGGATCATATGGTAAGTCTATTTTTAGTCTTTTAAGGAATCTCCATACTGCCCTCTCTAATGGCTATACCAGACTGCATTCCCACCAGCAGTGTAGGAGGGTTCCTTTTTCTCCATACCCTCTCCGGCATTTATCGTTTGTGGACTTTATTTAATAATGGCCATTCTGACTCCCACCTATCCATTCTTTAGGTGATGGGTGTTTAGGTTGTTTTAGGCTTTTCAGTCTTGTAAACAGTTTTCTCTGAACATCCTTGCATGTCTCTTTGTGCACATGTGTGAGTTTTTATGTATATATATCTAGGGATGCGTCGCCATCGATTTTACTAGATGTTGCCAAATTGGTCTCCCAGATTATTGTACCAATACCTACCATCTGCATATAAGGACTCCCCTTTCTCTACATCCTCAGTTGTGGAATTTAAATTTTTTTGCCAATTTGATGGATGTGATATAGATTTTTATTCCCATTTCCCTGACTATTAGTGAACACACCTGGATATAGATTACAGATATGGTTATAGATGAGGGTTTACCACCTGGATTTCTTCTGTGAATTACCTGTTTATATATTTTGCCCTTTTCTTTATTAGATTGTTTACATTTTTCTTATTTATTTGTAAATGTTCTTTATACATTCTGGATGCTTATTCTTTGTCTTTTAACTCTGTGTATAGTTGCTCCATATACATTTGGTCTGTCTCTGGACTCTG